TCCTTGTCCCCATGTGAACCCCCCCTCCACCCCCCAAGCGAGGGGGAAGTTGGGTGTCACGTCGGGATCTGGGGACTTTCCAGCACCCCGTTGGGTATTTTGGGGGGTCCCCAGGGGACCTCATCCCACTAATGGGGAAACTGAGGCACGGGAGGGACGAGGCCCGGTGTGTCCTCCTTCCCGCCCCCCCCCGGGTGGATGGACATCCTGGGGGTCTCTGGGGACAAGCGGAGGGGTGGACAGACGGACACCACCAGGGTGTGACGCCTGGACGGACAGATGGACACAGGGAAGGATGGGGGGGAAGCCCGGATGGACGGGCAACTGGATGGACACCCAGAGGGATGGACAGACACCTGGATGGACAGATGGACACTCAGGTGGATGGACACCTGGAGGGACATCTGGACAGGTGGACGGACCCCTGAGCGGACAGATGGACACCCAGGTGGGTGGGACACCCAGACAGACACTCGGACAGACAGATGTGTGCATGGACGCCTGGATGGACAGCCAGATGGACGGACACCTGGACACGTGGAAAGACAGACGTGTGGCCAGAGGCCTGGACAGCCGGACAGACCCCTGGGCAGGAAGAACACCCAGGTGGATGGACACCTGGATGGACACTTGGACAGACGCACGCCCTGACGGACAAGTGGACATCCAGGCGGACACCTGGATGGGTGGACAGACGGACAACCACTTGGACAGGTGGACAACTGGACTGACAACTGGACGCCCAGACAGGCAGACACCTGGACAGACGGACACCCAGACAGACAGACACCCGCGGTGATGGACACCCACGCTGATGGGCAGACGGAGAAGTGGGCAGAGAGATGGACACCGGGACAGACCCCCCCGACAGATGGACAACCGGCTACCTGGACTGACGGACACCTGGACACACAGACAACAGAACACCAGGATGGATGGACACCTGGACAGATGGACACCTGGACACCAGGACGGATGGACAACCAGAAAGATGGACACCCGGATAACTGGACAAATGGACAGATGGACACATGGACAGCTGGACAAATGGATAGTCAGATACCTGGACAACTGGACAGACAGACACCTGGACAGACGGACACCTGGATACCTGGACAAATGGATACCCAGGCAAATGGGCAGATTGACACATGGACAGTTGGATACCTGGACAGACGGACACACAGATACCTGGACAGATGGACAATTGGATACCTGGACAAACGGACACCCGGACAGACGGACACCTGGACAAATAGACACTCAGACACACAGATACCTGGACAGATGGACAATCGGACAGACGGACACCTGGACAAATAGACACTCAGACACACAGATACCTGGGCAGATGGACAGTCGGACAGACGGACACCTGGACAAATAGACACTCAGACACACAGATACCTGGACAGATGGACAATCGGACAGACGGACACCTGGATACCTGGACAAACAGACACCTGGACAGATGGACACTCAGAGCCCGAGCCCCCCCGGTGCCCACCTGCGGCGGGGTGTCCCCACGGAGCACCCCCAGGAGCGCGAGGGCGGTGGCGGC